TCCTTAAATTTAGAACTCTATATACATTAGAGATTAGAGTTCAATAAATCTCCCGAAAGTATTCATGAGTAGAATTTGGAGTTAATTATGTTACCTTACTATGGGGTTATATAATCACTATACAAGAAGAAGAGAGATAGACGTACAAAAAGTAATTAGCTTATTATGAACTTAATCATTCATATTTTAAAAGTATTCATGAATTAATTTTTATTTGTCACCAAAATTTGAGACGATGACACATGATTGATTTGTATTAAAATGCAAAAATAGACTTATAAAAATTATACAGGAAACCTCAAAAGCTAATTTAATAATTTATTGATAACGATCGAATTGAGAAAAACTAATCATAAAAACAATTCATAACCATGTATGAATTTTATTAAATAATTTATTTAATAGATTTCTAGATGGAATTTTAAACTGAAATTTTGTGAACATAATTCCCACTTCATAGAAAACGTTTTCAAAAACTTTCATAAAAAAATTCACCCAGGAGTACCTAAAAGTTTTCACCCAATAAATTATTAATTTAAGCTTGAAAAACCAGTTTACTTATATCTATTATAAAGAACTTACTCAGGGCCTAACTTTCTTCATTGTTTAGGGCCTAGGGCCTTTGCCCCCGCCCTCCCACTAGGGCCACCTCTCCTGAGTTCGTTTAATTGAATAAGTCAATGTTTCGAAATAAAGGTATCACCAAAACAAATGTTTCGAAATAAAGGTAAGTTGCGTTTAATAGTTCTAATCCACAAACTTCTTAATGAGATTTTTGAGGTATAATAGAATTCCCTAGACTATGGTATTCATTTTTTAGTTTTAAAACTACACCCATATTGCTTCAATAATATCGCTATACTTGAAAGCTCAAATTTTTCATAAATTATTATATGGATCATACTATATATAAGTCTATAACAGAGAATACAAGATTACATGTATAACTTTTCCAGTAACATATCAATTATGTGTGCGCGCGCGTGTGTCTGTGTGTGTACTTTATTTTTTTACTCCAGAGGGGTCTGGGGGAGGGGGCTGGGTGGAGCCTAGAGGAATCAGGGCTGAAACTCACTCCATTGAGTTTCGAACCCTTATGTGCCTAGCGGGTTTCGAACTCGAGACCTCCCACTAGGCACGCTAACCTCACAACCAACTGAGTTGGAATGTTTGGTTATTCTTCATACTCAATTATCTTAATTACAAATATTACTGACCTCCAAACCTCCAATACTCGGACATGTACTATAATACAAATCTTTGATGTTTTCTTAGTATGAATCCAGGTTTCTACTTTTTCAAAAGGCAACGTGCACACGTTGTAGAACTATTTATTGGAAAGTATCACATCCTAATAGATCTTAGTGTCTCTTGAAGATATGATTGATGTATGATAAAACAATAATATTATTACCCAAACTAATGCATTTAAAACAATTATTTAATTTACGTATTGTTGACATGAAAATCAATCTAAAAGTCTTATATGAGACAAAATTCAAAATTCACAACACCAAGAGTCGATTACAATCACTTCGAAGATATCCATTCTATGTGCAATGATGAACTCTCAGAAGTTGACACAATCCCTTTAAATAAGGGTGTGAAGATTCTATTCTAAATTTTGTATAAAAGTGTGCAAATGAAATGAAAAATTTCAAACTTAAGTGAAAAGAGAACCAAAAAATACTCAATAAGATGGAAGGTTGTAGTAAGTAGAGTGAAAAAAATCAGTGCTCTGTAATGATGTAGAAGGTGAAATGGTAGGATGACATAATCGTATGGCTAGGGAAAAAATAACCCTTTAAATATTAATTAATTCAATATAATAACTACAAGTACTAAATGGAAATGAAAGTGGAACACAAGAGAATAAAAATATTTTAAGCACCCCGAAATCATTTCAATAAAATTGGTTAAAAAATTATAATAACTTCCAAATCATTCCAAAAATGAGAAGAAAAAAAAAGAGAAACATGATAAAATGAAAGTGCTAAATACTACGTATAAATTTGTCTTAACACTATCTCAAATTAAGGATATTTTCAATTGAAAAGTTTTTTAGGTCTCATTTATGAAAGTAAAAGTTATTTTTATTTTAGTGTATATATTAGTATAATATTGATATATTTTGGCCGAGAGTTTCAACTCTCATAAAGTTTTATTAATTACACATATAACAATCATATCGTGACACTAAAAGTGATGTTTAAGAGCTAGATAAATAAGTTAGACTGTATATAAAAAGTAAGTAGTAATTCTTTTACTCATGGATGTAACGTTGATATATTATTATTTGATAATAATAATTCAGATCATTTTTCATTTATGAATATGTGGCATTTTTTTATTTTTCAATGCATAATTTGACATGTCTTTATAAGTTTTGTTCATCTGACCTTCAAGATAAAAATTGTTTATTAAAAGTCTAAACATGCAACTTTTCTTCATTTTAAGAACACTTATTTTATTACCTTCAATAACTTCATCTAAAGAAAAATAAATCGATCACTGCCAATCCCAATATGCAGCCTATTGTCATCGCCATCGCCTTCATTAAAATCAAAATGTCATGAAACTATATATTCTTAAAGAAAGTTACCAAAAGACGACAACAACAACATCTAAGCTTTAATCGTAAAAGATTTTGGGGTCGGCTAACATGAATCAATTAACGATACTCAATAAATTAGATAACAATAATACAATTAAGGATATAAGAAAGATAAAAGATAAAATCATAAAAAGATAAAAGAGCATAAAAAAGCTAGAAAATAAAAATAATATAAGAACCTAAAACAATAAGCCATGCATGAATGAAATTTAATGGATAGAAATTGGCATTCAACATTTCTTTTCGTTTAGGTAAAAAAAAAAATAGATTAAATTCAATGCATGCAACAGAGAGTTATAAAAAATATGCTCTTTTCATTGAAAAATATAGATTGAAAATATGTTTAGATAATTAGTTCAATAATAAGGCATACTCAATAAATTAGAATATGCATTTTTTTTAAAAAAAAGTTGTAATCGACTAAATAAGTGATTTTTCGTTAGTAAAACTAAACAACAAAATCATTTTTTCCCGTGCACGGCACGGGTAAAGATACTAGTTCCATTAAAAGTAAGGAATGTGTGGTTATTCAACATTTTGTTTTTTATTCTCTCATCTACACATATTCCAATCACTGTTTTTTATTTTGTTATTCAACATGCATGTAAAAATTGACGAAGTTTTGTGGGATGAAAGGAGTAATATTTTATTATTTGTTTTTCTATTTTATTTTCCTCTACATTTTGTTTAAATAATAAATACAAGAAGAAGAAGAGATGAACCACTATTTTCATTTTCTATGTCTAAAATACATATCTGGATCAAATAAAACAATAAATATATGAAACTGAATCAAATCAAACTAAATTGAACTTAAGATTTTTCACTTTGCTAATTCAAACTTGAGACTGAACCAAAAACAAAATGAAATCAAATTGAAACACAAATGATTTTAGTTTTGTACAATATCTCTCAAACTGAATAAATTGAAATTGAAGTGGAACCAATGAAAACTAACCATGAAGGCATGAACCACCTACTATAATCTATGCTACTACTCTCTTATCTATTCGTACTAGTTTTCAACACGTGCGTTGCGTGATTGAATAAAATGTCCATCGTGCTTTTTATTCGTACTAGTATTCGACATATTAAATTTTGTCAACTTAAAACAAAGAATTTAATGTTCTTTCATATGAAAGAGGACCCAAACAAAAAAAGGCATCATTGAGAAATATCTAGTACATATCTAACTATTGATGATTCTTATAAGATCCAATATGGGACCTTCACATGATAATACACGAGATATGAAATGAAAGGTATAGTAAATGAAGATCAAGATAAATATAATATTGACTAATATTCAAGTTACATATTTTTATTGTTCAGAAGAAAATAGCGACCTATTAAGTATTAAGGCTTGTATTTGATTGATCAAGATTCAAGAAGATCAATAAACTATTAGTTACAAATCTTTTGTAACTAAACTTTAAATATGCATTGTATTATTCTGCACCGCGGACAGTCATTGCCACTTTTAATGTGCAATACAAAAGTTACTCATCAAAATACTATGAGCTCACATTACAACACTTTTTTTAAGTGAACACAAGTTATTCTATTTATCAAGTGTTTGCCAGTAAATAGTACTAACTCTATCCCATTTTATGTTTCTTATTTTGATTTTGACACAATTATTAATAAAATAGTTGATAAGTACCTATGAAACCATAGTGGAAAAAGAGGAAGTAAGATGAATACCCTTCTCCTGCGCGTTGGTAGCAAAAGTCACTCTCCTTTCTTCGTTTTTCACCCTCTTCTCGTGCTTGCTCTATACATTTTTTTTTTACCTTTTTTATTTGTGAAATTGTATTTTTCACAAATATTTAAGAGTTTTTACTTTTACAAGTTATGTATCCATTTTTGTTGTGATTTTAGGACAATTCTTTGAATGTGGAAAGAGTATAGATTAAGATCATGTTAGCTAACATTAAAATTGGCCGAATCGACTGATTCTGCTAAAATTTATGAAATTCTGGATGCATTGACTAGATTGGTCGATTCTGCTTATTTGTGAAAAAATATTTAAATTATATTTTATTTATAAAATAAATAAAAAAGTATATGAAAAATAGTTAAAATAGTCATCTACAGCAATTTCATATGGTATTTAAAATAGTTAAATATTTAACATATTAAGTCATCATGAGTAACTCCAATTTTACTTAGGTAAGAAACATGGAAGGGAGGGGTTGAAATATGGGTTGAACGTTTCATATGGTATAAATAATTACACTTAAAATTGAGTGGGAGGAAATGCCACTTACAGTTACAACGTGAGGTCATGGCATAGACGGTTACATACAATGAAGGGGTTGAACGTTTGGGTTTTAACGGAAGTAACAAAAAATATGTGGTATAATCATGGGAGCATAATGTATATGAGAATGTTGCTTTGGGCTACACCAATACATTTTATATACCAAAAATACCCTAACCATCATTGATGTTTATAATATTTTAGATTAGATTATTCAATATATTTACATTATTTAATATTTAATATTCATATTATTTGTTGATGTTTATTGTTGAGGTTTATTCCTTCAACCCTCGGGTCCAACACGTAAGCCCAATGATTTCGAGTGGAGTGTGTGTGAATAAACTAGCCCAACAAGCAGATGATATGGATTAGAGAGAACAAGAAGTAGCAAGTAATTGACTAGGTATTATTATCTCTTAATAACTCCCTAATACAATACTTTTCGCTAAGGCTCCGTCGGCCGTTCGTCTTACAAGGCAGTAGAAGTGCTGCGAGTAAGAATGCTATAGCTAGAGTGCTAAGAATAGAAAGTTGCCAACCCTTTACAATGACATAAATGCTTCTATTTATACCCGCCAATGGGCAGGTGGCTATGCTGACGTGGAAGCCTGTGGATCGCTGGTGTCCCAACCACCAAATCTTCAGCATTAAATGCACTTCCCGCCAGAATCTAGGTTTCCCGCCTAAATAGTGGGGACGTCCGTCCGCCCGGGAAGCGAGCTGGATCGCTCCAAGTGATCCTCAAGAGGTATCGGCTGCTCGTCTCCTGGCCTTGATGGATTCTCACCATGTGGACTGGATTCCCCCCGATGACTATAGGCTTGCTCTGGAGACGTTCGTCGTCATCCCCGATGGTCCGTGGTTCTGCTCCTTGTTCCTCCATAGGCGCTCGTTGAGATGGGCCGTTGGGCCTAGGCCCTATTGCAGACGTCCGTCTGACTTGAAGGAACATGGGCCTGCCGTCCACCTGTGCCCTAAGTAGATGTACGACTGGTTGAAGGGGTGAGTGGGCCGGACCTCGACTTGGGCCATTAACCCAACACAAGTCCCCCACTTCTGATGTTCTGAGCATGCGCAGGACATAAGGAAGTATGAAGTCCCTCGAAGTAGACGTTCGTGTCTCGATACTCCATGTTCTATGGCAGCTGGTGGAAGCGTACGCTCGTGGTCATGATGAGTACAGCTGTCGCCGGTTCAGGAAACGAGGTGACGGCTGCTATAGCGGCGGTGCATTTTCCGAGGAAATATCATCATTACGCTTTCGCCCCACGCACAGCGCGTGAGCCGGAATACGCTCCTTGCCACGTGTCAGCCCCTCGTTGTTTCCCCCATCGGTGTTTCTCCTATAAATGCCGGGTTTTCCCTCTGGATTAGGGTTCCCAATTTCTGCTCTCTTGCTCCCGAGTTCCTGCTGCTCTTCAAGTCTTTTCCCGCTTCCGAGTCCGGCCATTCTCTTGTAAGGTAATTTCTATCCTCTGCTTCTTTTACCTGTCTTGAACTCTCGCCGAGATGGTTTCGATGGAGATCTCGTCAAGTTCTGGTTCTGGTTCGTCGGGTTCCTCTTCGGGATCCTCTTCCAACTCCGGTTCACGCTCTTCAGACGAAACTAGCACTTCCGGTAGTTCTGGCTCGGCTCCTACCGTGGGAACTGTTCAGGCCGGGAAAGCCCGAAATGGTGTTGTTGCGACTGTCCCTGGTGAGGAGGGTACTAACTCGGGGGAGCAGGACAATATGGCCCTCGATGTGGTGGACCCCGTGGCTGACGTCGGGGAACAGGAGTCCGCTAGTGAGGACGGTCGTCCGGATGGATATGACTCTGGGGTCGAGGCCCAGGATGGCTCTGACATCGAGGTGTTTAATCTTGGGCTAAAGGTAGATGTGGAGAGGCACCTATGCCCGATCAAGAATGTCCTTTGCCACGAGCAGATCTTCTCGCCGGTAGCCCTTAACAAGCTCAAGGTGTTCTTCCCCCCTCCGTCCGTATACAGCCTCCGTGGCGCCACCCATGTGATGAGAAGACGCCCGGGGATGGTTATGGTGCTTCTGGACTCCATCGAGGCCGGACTGCGTTTTCCTCTCCACCCGTTCTATGTGGAGTTCTTCTGCTGTTATCAAATAGCCCCTGCTCAGCTTATGCCGAATTCATACCGGTTTGTCTCCGCCTTCCTGGTCCGTTGCAAGGACAATGGGGTCACTGCCACCCTGGACTTGTTCCATTACTTCTACCGGCTCACCCCTCAAAATTCTGACGGTTTCCTAAGCATCGCCGCTCGTCCGAAACGGAAGCTGTTCAGCGGCGCACCGAGTTCTATCCACGATTGGAAGAATCGGTTCTTCTTTGTGCGGTATGCGGATGCTCGTCTGCCCTTGCGGTGGAATGGCTATCCGCCCAAGATAGGGTCTCCGGCTCTGTCCGATGATCTGGAGGGAGACATCAGGAAGATCTCGACGGGCGGCATCCGGCCCTTGGATGACTTCCTCACTTTCGAGTCACTCACCGCGGCAGGAATAGGTACCGCCCATGCTCTTGGACTTCCCCCCTCCTACGCTCGTCTCGGGGTACTGGGTGGTCCTGACCTCTGAGGTGAGTGTCCCGAGTTATTCCTGACGTTCGTCCATCTAACATTGTCATTTTTGCTTTCTCCAGGTCTTCCCCCGACCCAAGAACAAATGAATCACGAGAAGCTCATGAAGACAAGGAAAGGCAAGGGTGCTGCCGCCGATGCCGCTCTCGCCAAGGCCAAGGCGGTTCAGATGGCCGATTCCAACTCTTCTGCCTCCCAGGCCGATCGTCGCACGGTGGAGGCCGAGCAGCATCTTATCGCCACGGTGATGGCGCAGGAGTCTCAGGCCCCGATCCCAGGTTCTGGCGCCTCCGAAGTTGTGGCCCCCTTGCAGACCGTCCATCCCCACGACGGGGAAAAGGCGAAGGACAAGAAGTCCAAAAGGCCACGGGGGGCTGGCTCTTCGGCCCCTGAAGTGCAAGAGTTGATCCTTCCCTCTCTTGGGCGTCCGGCGCATGACGTTTGGCAGGAGATTGCTTCCCTGGCCGGCATGGAGGTGCCTCCCCGGACGTCCTCGGAGGCTTCCAATGCGGCTCTGGCCGCCGCTCTTCAGGTGAGACTTCTCTCCCCGCCGGGTACTTGATTATCCCATTCTGATGTTCTGGAGTCTCACCTTCTGTGTTTGATTTGTAGGTCGGGCTCTTCGTTCTTCAATCTGAAGCTGCCCGAGATGCCGAGGTCCTTCAGGCAAAGAACAAAGCGGACGCGGCTTTGAAGAAGGCGAGAGAGGCCGCTCGTCTCCAGGAGAAGGAAATGGCGGCCAAGGACAAAGAACTGCAGGCTGCCCTGGAGGTGGCTCGCGAGTCCTCCGCAAGGATCGCAGTTCTGGAGAAGGCCGGGTTCAAGCTCGTCTCGGCCCTCCCTGCTCCCAAGGATGAGGCCCCTGAGTGGCTCGTCGATGATTCCGGGTACCATAATTCTGGGGCCTTCATGATCGCCACCCAGAGGTACCTCGGGGGCGCTTTCGGCGATGTATTCGCCGCCGAGCTGCAGAAGCGTGCGCCGAAGGATCGGCTCAAGTTCGGGGTCCAGGTCCTGGAGAGTGCCCCCCTGGCCGAGAAGTTCCTGTATGATGTTGGAGATTCCTCCTTCGTCATTGGCTATAATGAAGGGGTGAAGGCCACACTGCCGGTCTTTGCCGCTCTTCAGGGCCCTGATTTCAACCTGGCTCAGCACACCACAGACCCTGAGTTGATCCGGGCGGTGGGCAAGTTGGAGCGGGACGCCCGGCGGGAGGAGGCTAAAGCCAGGGGTGAGGTCCCGGAGCCTCCGACCCCCGAGCCCGAGCTCGAGGAGGAAGAAGAACCCATTCCGGGGGGGTCCCGGCCTGTTTCCCCAAATTTTGTTTAGCGTAGCCTGTAATCTCTTTATTATGATTCTGTAATATCCGGTCAGTAGAGCCAAGGAATACACAACTCTTTTTGCCCCTTCATTGTCTCTACGTTCATGAACTCTTCCTGTTTTCTTTTATCGTTAGTAGTATTTTGCTCTCATGGGATATAGCCCAAGTTCGTGAGGACGTTCATGTCCATAATCCGTTTACCCCACATGTGTAAACCGCCCCCAACGCCATACGTCGGCAAAAAGACGTACGGGGATGTGACCGTATTCTCCCGGATCAGAGTTGGTGAAGACGTCCGTCACGTGGTTATAGGCATAACCATCCGTGACGTTCGTCTGTATAACTAGATGTGGGGATAAGGACGCACTCCTCAGAAACAATGCCTTGATAGAGAAGTCCGTCGCGTTAGGAATAGCATAACCTTTTACGCCTTGTGTTTAAACCAGATACCATACGCACGTCTTCCCGTGAGTTTAGCCTGTGGGTGCGGTCTCTGTGTGCCCCTATGGGGGACGTTCGTGGCATCAAACCGGATTCCTTCGCGGTAATTGTGGGGTGGTAACGTCGAGGTGCCTTTAATACCGTGGTAGGTACCAGTATCCAGGCGCCACGTGTTCCACCGTGATTGGCGCGATCCCGCGGTGCTGTCTATAAGTACCCAAGGTCTTGCGAATTCCCCATTTGCTTCATCCCTAGCTCTTGTGCTGCGCAACCACTTTCTCTCTCTAGCTTTTCTCGGCACTGCCTCAGGCCCCGACACTCGTAGGTACCGAACGTCGTCATGTCTTTGTCCATGCTGGGACCCCAAACTACTGATTCAAGGACCCGAAACAGCTCGTCGTCCACCGGGGATAGGTTTGACGATGGGTGCTCCTCTGGTGATGATCTAGAGTTCTATGAGCGGGGTATGCCACCATGGCCCCCCCGACATCACCTGAATTTCTCCGGCGTTCGTCGTCAGCGCCAGCGTCTTTTGAACGCTGACCGTCGGTTGATAAGCCAATGGTTCCTTCCCCCAAGGGGTTACGACGACCGACGTTTGCGCAACCCCATGCGCCATCTGCCCGGCTATGTGGTGGTCCACTTAGACTCCGTTATAGCCGGCCTTCTTTTTCCCCTTCATAGCTTCCACATAGAGCTTTTTAGGAGCCTCAAGGTGACACCTGCTCAGTTCGTCCCCGCCGCTTATAGGATCATCGCGGGTTTTATAATTAGATGTCACAGTGTTGACGTGACCCCCACCGTAGATCTGTTGCAACACTTCTTCCGGTTATCCCCCTTCGGACGTACGGGGTACTTAACCCTGATTGCGCGTCCGTCCATGGTTCTATTTTCAAACAACGCCGGGAACCCGGACGGCTGGGAGGAGCGGTTCTTTCTCGCCGAAGTAGGCTCCCCGGAGCCATTCTCCGATAGGTGGAACGTCTACCCGGTGAAGTCCATCCCGCCGCCTATGACGGATGAGGAGCTTGGATATGCCAAGCGCATAGCTGGTCTTGGCGTCCAGAACCTCCGGTCGCTGGTGGCCGAGCCTTTCAAGGCCCGGGCCGGGCTAGGTGCGTCTATTTGTACTTGTATTGTCCTGTCATCCCTTTCTTGTTATGGTTCTGAACGTCCTGACTTTCATTCTGCAGGAGTTTTCCCATCCACATCATCCATGGGACGTACCAACATTTCCTCGCATGCCCATGGCCGCAACAACGAGGATGAGGATAAGGGCAGGAAGCCGCTCGTCCCCAAGACCGAGTCTCGGGCGAGTAGGAGGCGGTCAGACGATGTGTCGGAGGTCGGGGCTTCCAAGAGGCCGCGCATTGATGGTACTGCCTCCAAGGCCATCATAGTTGCTGACGACTCCGATGGTGAGCCTGGGAGTCCCTTGAAGAGGAGACCTTCCCAGAACAAGCCCCCTGTTTCTCCTCCGCGGAACTCCGAGGTCCGTCGCCTCCGGGATGAAGATGTTCATGTTACCAAGGGTTCTGACGATGCTCGTCCCCCTTCGCCTTTAGAAACCAACGGGTCCTCCCTTGGCCTTATAGAGTTCTCCGGGGTTGGCCCTCGCAAGGAGTCGATGATGCTCTTTGGTCAAACCGCGTCTTCCATCTGGTGTGGCCTCAACCTCAAGGTCCCCCAAGATTTCGCCGCTCATGAGGCCCCCGAGGATCTTCTGGAATGTGGGCAGAGCACCCTAGACAAGGCCGGGCTCTACTTCCACATGGCTCGGATGGCCTTTGAGCATCAGGGTAAGGATATGGCCCGAGTGCGGGCAGAGTGTGATGCCCTTCTGAGGAACGCCAAAGGGAGGGCCGGGACGCTCCAAGAGAAGGCCGACGCCTACGATAAGCTGGCCCAGGAGAACGCCTCTCAGAAGGAGCTCCTCAGGAAGCAGGAGGCCGAGCTCGTGGACCTTCGTAGCCGGCTGTGGGCCGTGGAGCAGGCAAAAGTGGAAATCCGCCGTACGGGTGTGGATAATCATGTCCCCATCTATGAGGCCGATGTTTCGAAGATCAAGGAATCTGGTTCCATTGAGTTCCAGAAGTCCAAGGCTTACATTGGTGCTATTCATACCATGGCCATGAGGTTCCTTCCGAGGCTCGTTGGTGAGTTTTTGGCCACCTGTCCGGACCCTTATCTAGATGGCGTCAAATTGCTCCAGGCCACTCCCACTGGGGAACGCTTCCTCGATGATCTTGCCGACGATACTTATCTCAAGGGTATGGTCGGCCTTGTGGCAGAGAATCTCCCGGTCTTCGAGCGTCATTTTGGAGCTCCCTTTGACCCTGCTGCAGCCGGCTTCGATTTTTTGATGGCAGACGCCCATAAGGGGGCCCTTGAGCTGCTGAGGGAGCGTAAAGAGCGCGAAGAAGCTGAGGCCAGGGAAAAGGCCAAGCAAGTCTCCTTCAAGGTTCCAACTCCGGATGTTGACCAAAATTGATTCTCCGCTCATAGTTTTGTACTTGTACCCATTTTTCCATTATGTACATTGTACCTTACATATTGTACCTTCCGGTCATCAGTACCGAAGAATAAGAATCATTGTTTGCTCCATGTTCGTCTAGCTCCGATCATTTTTTTTTGGAGTCTTTTATCAGTCTTTGTCCTTCCCAAGCTTCGTGATTACTTGTCTCCTGGCTTCGCAGGAGACGTTCGTCATCCCCACATTGAGAAAAACAGGTTTATCCGCGTCGGGATTCCCTATCTCCGTTCGTCCCCAGCTGTGAACAACTAGTCTTCTGGCTTCGCAGAAGGCGTTCGTCATCCGCTCATCAGGGGGAGGAACTAGGCTTCGTTCGTCCTTGTCGGGACCCTACTAATCTTCTTACTTCGAAGAAGACGTTCGGTATTCACCGATCGCAAGGAGGTCACTGGTTTACCCTATCGCAGGTTCCCTGCTTCGTCGTCCCATGCTCGTGGCCCTACTAACCTTCTGCTCTGGCAGAGGGTGTTCGTCGATCCACGGGAAACGGGAGGAACTGGTTTATCTTGCCGAGGTTCCCTTTGGTACGTCTAGCCTCCCCCACGTTCCTACTAACCTCCGCGTCGGGAGATGTTCGTCATACGTGGTGAAGGAAGATCAGGCATACCTCGTCAAGACTCCCTCTCTCATAGGAGTCGTATCTCCCCTTCTCCTCGTTTTTTTTTTGAGGAGGAAATCATTTCAATAGCACTTCGGCTTTAGTCTCCCTGTAGGAAGTAAAAGACAGGAAGTATTCCTTTAAATATAGAGGCGACGATCGTTAGTGTTACATGGTGCTTCGACCAGAAATTACAAAAGCGATCTATCTCTAACTATTGGTAGAATTTCTTCAAGTGTTCGACGTTCCAGATCCCAGCGTGGTTCCCCTCCAAGGTATGGAGGAGGAACGTCCCCTGGTTATATCTTCTGATGACCCTGTACGGCCCTTCCCAATTCCTGGCCATCTTGCCACCTTCGAGTGGTTTGCTCTTCTCCCTCTTTCTGAGTACGAGGTCTCCAGCTTCAATTTCGCGGATCTTCACTGCCTTGTTGAAGTACCTTTGGGTGGCTCGGTGATATTCCTCCATGCGACGAGCTGCTAGATCCCTTCGTTCCTCAATGAAATGGAGCTCCGCTCGTAGGTTTGCCTCGTTGTCCTCCGGCTGGAAATGCTTTGTGCGATGTGTGGGTACTAGCACCTCCGTTGGCACCTTGGCCTGGAATCCATATGCTAGGGCAAAAGGTGTTTCGCCGGTCGCCGTCCTTGGGGTAGTCCTATACGTCCAGAGTACGTAATTGAGCTGCTCCGGCCAGGTGGACGCGTAATCTTCCAATTTCTTTTTGATCCCATCCATGATGGTTCGGTTCATGTTCTCCACCTGGCCGTTGGCCTGCGGGTAGGCCACCGAGGCCTTAGAGTGCCTGATGCCCCACTTCGCCAAGTATGCCTCAAATCCTCTGCCGACGAACTGCCGGCCGTTGTCGGTGACGACCTGCTCTGGAATCCCGAAGCGGCATATGACGTTCTGCCAGAGGAACCTCTGACATTGATATTCGGTGATGGAGGCAAGCGGCTCGGCTTCTACCCACTTTGTGAAGTAGTCAATTGCCACAATGACGAACTTCCTTCCGCCGGTCGTCGTCGGGAGAGGACCCAACAGGTCTATGCCCCATCTGGCAAAAGGTAATGCAACCGTCATTGGAGTGTAGAAACTTGCTGGCCGTCCGGGGACAGGGGCATATTACTGGCACACCGCACACTTCCGCGTGTGATTGAAGCAGTCCTGCTGGATGGTCGGCCAGTAATATCCCTGCAAGATGATTTTCCGGGCCAAGGTACGGGGACCCTGGTGGCTGGAGCAAATGCCTTCATGTATCTCCTCAATAACGGCCGCTACTAAGCTCGGCGGGAGGCATCTCAAGTACGGCCCGCCGAACGTCTTCTTGTAGAGTTTTCATCAATGAGCTCGAAGTTGGGGGCACGCCTTTTTACCCAAGCTGCCTTTCCGGAGCTGCCATCATCTTCCGGCCCGGGGAGCGTCCCATCTCTGAGATAGTCGGCAATTTCCTTCGAAAAATTAGGTTCGGCGATGGAGATGGCCTCTACCCGGATGACGTCCGTTGCTGGCGCCGGGAGTGTCTCTTGCCTGACGAAGCCCCTAATGTGCCGGGGGATGCTCGTCGTGGGGTCATCGCTCGGGGGATTGCCTAGCTTGGATAGTATGTCAGCCTCGGCGTTCTCCACCCGCGATACCTGCTCGATTATCACCTGTTCGAACTGCGCGGTTTGTTCCTCCGCGAGTTCCCTGTAAATCTTCATTCTTTCTTCCCTGGTCTCGGTCGTCCCATTCATCTGGGTTACCACCAGCTGGCTATCCATCCTCACCTTGAGACGAGCTGCGCCGAGTGCCTTCGCACATTTCAGTCCTGCGATCAGCGCCTCGTATTCAGCCTCGTTGTTGGTGACTTTGAATTCAAATTTCATGGAGTAGTAGGCCTTGAAACCCTCAGGTGAAGTGATCACTGCTCCTCCACCATAACCTTTTGCACTCGAGGCCCCATCGGTGTACATCTCCCACCAGTTGTTGAAATCATTGTCGCCTTGGGGATCGTCCTCGGTGCGCGCAGTGCATTCGGCAATGAAGTCTGCCAGCGCCTGTCCCTTGATCGTCGGCCTCGGCTTGAACTCTATGTTGTACTGGCCGATCATCAGGGACCATTTGGTTATCCTCCCGCTGGCCATGGGGTTCCGGAGGATCGTGGCGAGAGGTTGTGTTGTGTATACAGTCACTGGGTGTGCCTGGAAGTACGGTGCCAGGCGTTTGATGGATGCTATCAGGGCAAGGACCGTCTTCTCCATCAGTGTGTATCTGGTCTCCGGGCCGTTCAGTGCCTTGCTCACAAAATAGATTGGCCGCTGAACGCCTTCTGCCTCCTTGAGTAGCACCGCACTCACAGCCAAGTCCGCCACCGCCAGATACATGTACAGCTGCTCCCCTGGGTCTGCTTTGGTGAGGACGAGCGGAGAGGAGAGGTACACTTTGAAATCTTCGAAGGCAGCCTGGCATTCCGGTGTCCATTCAAAGGGATTCGCCTTCTTTATGATCTGAAAGAAAGGGATCGCCTTGTCTGCTAGTTTTGACATGAATTGGCTAAGGGCCGCCAATCTCCTGGTGAGGCGCTGTACGTCCTTCAGATTCTTCGGGGCTTCCATGTCAACTATTGCCTTCACCTTCTCCGGGTTAGGCTCGATTCCCCGTTCACTCATCATGTAGCCGAGGAACTTGCCGCCCTTGACAGCAAAAGCACACTTCTTCGGATTGAGCCTCATGCTAGCCCCCTCCATGATGGTGAAGATTCTCTCCATATCCCGGACGTGGTCTTCCTTCCTCTTGCTTTTGATCAGGATGTCGTCCACGTAAGCCTCCATGGTTTTTCCTAGTACGTCTTTGAACAACATCCTGATCATCCTTTGGAAGGTAGCCATGGCGTTCCTCAGGCCGAACGGCATGACCACATAACAGTACACGCCGTCCGCTGTGACGAACGTTGTTTCTCTGCATCATCCGGGTGCATGAACACCTGATGGTAGCCTCTGAATGCGTCCATGAAGCTGAGCAGCTCGCAGCCTGCTGTCTCATCCACCAGCAAGTCGATCCTCGGCACTAGATATGGATCCATCGGGCAGGCCTTGTTGAGGTCCGAGTAATCGACGCACA